CAATTTTGTGACCTGTTCACTTGGCCTGATGAAGCTTTTGTGTCAAAAGCGAAACGTTGCCCAAATAAAAACTACCGATTGTTTACCAAGCTCTTCTGAAATGATGACTTCTCAATCGGTTCCAAACTTTTTCCAATTGATTAAAAAATATCACCATTCGTATCTATCGCAAACCTGAGTGACCAACATCTGCAACCAGGCTGGCCTAACAGGCGATCACCACAGCATTCAGTCAGATTTACCGTGGTCAACTGTTTGTAAACTGCCTTTCTTTGAGCATCTACAAACGTTGACTGTAAACCAGAAAGACCAGATTTTGAAGGAATCAGCTGAAAATTGTACACTGAGTTTTGTTTGTTGACTGAAAACTAAACAGTCGAGATGAACAAGCATTTTTGATCCACATTTCCGAAAAATGGCAAATATTCAAGATTTCTTATAGCATTATCATTACACAAAATGATATAGAATTGTAACTAATCGTTTGGCATTCTCTTCCTATCTCTTCTATCCGAAAATTTTCCGTAAATTTGCCCTTGCGAGACCATAACGAGGAGAATATTTTTCATTTTATGACAAGAAGTACTAACAAAGATTGTCCCGGATACGAGATGCAAAAATCCTCGCGAATATCTTGGAAAATCTATACCGCTCGTATGAATAATAAAACGAGCGTTTGTCGTGACCTCAACGATTGGAAAACGAATAATTTTTTGACATCAATTTGTGACCCGAATAATTTATAATTTACTCCTACTGTGCCTACGTATGGGCCTGGTGCTTTTACTCCGCGTGCCTAGTTCATTTCTAGAAAAGGATGAGAAAGTAACCGACTTGGGCCACGTAATAACAGAGTAAAATTCGGTAAAAATGACAGTATGCAAACGTTTGTTCCAACTGAATCTTATTATTTATTTACTTGCGCAGGATCAGAGTAAAAATCAGAGTAAAAAATCTTTTTTGGCAATGAAGCTTCGCGCAAAAACGTTTTGTCTTATTTTTACGTTGTTTTTAAAATTTTGACTATCTGGTTTCCATTTTAGCCACAGGAGTGCGAGTGATTTCTACTTGCGGGAGCACTCATTTTTACCTGTGAGGAATGGAAGATAAAAGTGTAAAACGCATGTTCTTTGATGTGTTGGAGATTTGAAGTTTATTGAAGCCTGAGTATTCAGTGTGAAAATTTCGACTCGAAAGTTCAGTCTTCCCACGTGCAATGGTGTGCTTTCTGGCTTTTCCGAATACGTTCAGTGTTATTTTTTTCTCGAAAAATTGATATCAAATCAAAACTTGGGCGCTCTTGACAACAATTACTTAAAGCGTGTTTTTTCGAAAATGATGTTAGCACAAATTCTTGTGCTTTGCATGAAATATTTTGAAGAAAACGAAAGTGCTGATTGCGGTAGGCTGGCTTCTTGTAGTCTCATATTAACTCTTGTGCAACTGAAGTACTCCCTATGTTAACCTGATCTTCCGATGGGTAGGTCATTTTGATCATCACTCATAAAATGCTTTTTAGTAGATAATTTTAATCGTCACCAAAATAAATAATACCAACCGTTGCTATCTGTTTAATGTTGTGCCCTTTTTCGAGTGACATACGTTCTACCTAAAGCAACAAGCTGGCCTGCAAGGATGTCTTCCGCAGCCGTAACCATTGACTTTCGACAGCGACCACTGATGATTTAGCGATAGAGATCAAGCCTCGTATATATTCTGGGGAAATCAGTCAGGAGAAGACCTTGTCCATCAAGGTAGATTAGCTAAAGTTTGACCATTCAAATTTTATCACACCGGAATCGAGGTGTAATCAGGAGAGGAATAAATGTGGACAAAACTTGACCACAGATGTTTCAGAAAACTACCGTTTTAAAGATTCCTTATAAGGAATATTTGTATAACTTCATGTTTGAAGTTCGGTAGTCAGGCAGCTCGGAATACCTAACCTGACGGAAGACAGTTCATTTGGACAAAGAACACAGTATTGGTTGATGGGGCAACAAAAACCCGACTAATTATACGGCTACTCTCACTCATGTTCGGACTGTCAAACACTTCATGGGGTGACCCCAAATTCTTCACTTTGTTCGAAAATGTAGCAAGTTGGCTGAACAAATAAGGCGGAAAGGCAGACTCCTACTATCCGGTGAAAGGCCTTAACCAACGAAAAAAATCTTGTCCGGAAACCCACCTAGGCCAAAAGCTTTTCAGCGGTGCTAAATTCCCGTACAACTTGAAAAACCTGCGTCGGTTTGTAACTCTGTTATGCCTACAAGGATCTAGACTGTTGGCCCAACGTCACAAACAAGGTGAAATTTGCTCAGGCTAGAATCATTACTACTTACACCAGAGGTGCTATTTCAAACGGTCTATATTTACCCTGGAACGTTTTTGGAGGATGAAAAACGGACAACTAAACACATCATTGTGTTGGCATCTTTCACTCCAATCGATCCAATTTATTTGCTCATTTCTACAGGCAGCATCATGTGCGCAAATTCTGTACGCATCAAATTCTGCCAACATCTTTCCGTGTTAAGTGAGTTTAAATCCAGGCCATTTCAAATCCCGACAAAGAGCGTCTCTCTACATGTCTATGTTACCAGAAGAGGTCATAAATATCCACGGGATATCAGTGAGTCGAAAGTGACCAGCAATGGAAGCGCCTTCTCATGCGCGTAATCCGTTGTTACTCTAAAAAATCTCAGTACCAAAGCAAGCTGACGAGTCTCGATCACAAATTTGCCTTATTCTGACGCCGTTGTTTTCCCATGGAAAACTGTTTCTATTTTGCCCAAGGTCCCCCCTATCGGGATTGTCGCTCATTTAATCCACTTGCTATTTTGGGTACACCTAACTCGCGTGTATCGTGATTAACAGGGCGATTATGCTTTCCCCTATATAACATTGATATTCGTGCACTGAGGCCTACTCAGAATGCCCAGTCTTACTGCCACCTTAACACACTTACACTGTTCAAACTTACAAAAAGCACGCATTGCATCGCCTTTGATAACACCAAAACCAACTCATTCTGCAAAAAGTACCATTTTGTTCCAAATAAACCTGATATATCACGTTTCATTGACGCAATTTTACCTCCCCAACCAAATCTTGCTTTTTTACTGGGATTGACAATAATTTTATCGACTTTTTTCCCTGGCGGGTGCCCAGTGACAGTACTTTTCATTTCCTCTAACCAGGGCGTGAATCAAATGTAAAGCTACAAAGACCTCACAGAAGAGCGTTATAATTTCTTTAACACAGAATGATTTTTCAGGCATCTGCTTGAGTTGAAAGTAATATCACGTATGCAACCAGCGCAAAATTTTTCCTTATAACAGCCAGAAAAGCAGGTGTCTAACAGCGCACTTTGCGGCAGACGTTTGCCATGATTTTATACCGAAAACTGTTAGGTATAAAAGCAACAGGTGCATCCGAATAAACGGACTCCTACAAACGCCGAATTCAGGGTTCATTAAACGTTTCTAGGAAGCTACAGTGACCCAGTTAGCATACGAGAACATAATGTTCCGCTTGCTTCCATAATCCGATGTTTCTCTTACTGCGCTGTCGTTATCATTAACAATGTGGCGGACACGAACTCATGGTGCGCGCCAAGGCCGTTATGTTGCGGCTTTTTATATATTTCCAGAACTCTGAACTAGTCGACCAAAGCGATCCGCCAAAAAACGTCTCATTTGGTACACGAATAGCAGAATGGGTCACTGATGTCGGGCCACGAAACGCGAACATTGACCGCTCAAAATAAATCAACGGGCGTCATCACGCGAACCCAAATGGTTTGACTTAGATTCGCCTTGGAGCATCAATAAAAACATATCGTGTTGGAAGAGGGATTTTTACTTTCGTTTAAGAGCGCGCGGATGTCAGAATAGTGAAAACATGTTTAGCAGACTCTCGGCTTGAATCCAATTTGTTTTTCTTGTTGATCGAACAAAGTTGTAAAGTGTTCCAAGAAGGTCATTCCAAATACCATGCGTTCAGTTGTTATTTGTGGATCCGGAACGATTGAGCTGAAACAACGTGTCTGTCCGTTCACCTCCTCCTAAAAGGGAAGTTTGAAAGTTCATTGAATCTTTGTATGATCTCAATATTGATGGTAAACCACTTTCTTTTACCTGGTACAAAAGTAACCTAGCAGGCGTGAGTAAATCTCAAAAGTGGCTGCAAAATTATCAAGCAGTCCGAGCATTCAGTTCAATAAAACGGGTGTGAGATTGCTTGAGCATCTATTTGAAGCCTGTTGAAGAGCGGAAGCACTGCTGCTAAACGCCGTGTAGTGCATTATGCGGAAAAAATAAATTGCTATCTCTACAACCGCATAAAATGGCTCTTACTTGAACGAGCAACAATAAGGCTACAAAAATAGCTAGTGGATCGGTCTGCTTGCTCTGTAATTACGTCATCCAAAAAGTCACGCTTACTTTTTGAATATAATTTTCAGGTGGGAACCTTAGATCTGCCCCTTGAAGTGAGACAACGAGTGTCGGTAGCCCCGGAATTCGATCACAGTCCACGACGTACAAATTTCCCGAAAGCGTCGTTCCCAATGCTGTGTTAATTAGCCCTGCACGATCCGCGCTGGCCTTGTTTAACCAGGTAGTGGTGTCAAGTGTGGCAAAAAATGATCTCGAAGAAATCCGTGCTGTAGTTGTCTTGAGGCTGTGATTCAAAAAGTTTTGCAATAACTGAATGCGCCTTGTGTTTTATCATTTAAATTGCCGACATAGACGATAATTCATTACTCACCTGGTTACTGGGACCTTCCAAGAAGCACGGGTCACTTCTGCGGGCACCATCCGGAAACTTCTCAGGTCGATTGTATCATGCGACCCGAACACAATGCGAGCGTCAGGTTCCAGATCGTTGCGGTGAGGAGCACTCAAAAAATAATAAAACGGTGAGTTTGTTGCATCATGAATAATAGAATTAGATAGGGTGAGACAGAACGGTCACCTCTTGCAAATCAGCGGTATGAGTTAGATCACATACCATACACAAAATAGAGTGAATCTTTTGTAGTCTATCATCTGATTTGCTGACATAACATTCAAAATGTTAAAATCAGGTACTGTCCTGCTAGATTCTGGGTATCCCAAACCCAGGTGGCCATCGGCTGCAACGGGAAGCCCTAATCGTGGGTTGTTGATACCAAGGAGAGAAATTGTTAGTCCACCAACTGGATACCCGTCGATCTATTTGAAAACAAACTCATTAAATAAACGATGGAACAAACCTGGAAAAAATCTCTTAAACCGGTTGTTAATACACCTCTTACACTAAAAACACGTGAGGCAATTTGGTCCGTGGCTGAATTTCCTCTATCAAATTTTCTCTTCTGTTCCCAGTCAGCATGCAATGCGCTTGAGGATATGAGTAGAGTGACGTCCAAATTTGTGTCGACAAGAACGCAAAAGTTTTGCGCAGGTGTACCAAATGATATGTGTGCAAGTAGGCCACTCTTCAAACTTCATTGGCAAGATTATACGAAAACGTACCCCCTCGCTGATAGATAGGTCCGAATACACTATATCTCGCTTCTCACGAAACCGCCCTTTGTTACGGTAGTAGAGATCCATTCTGTTGCAATATCATCATAGCGAATTTGCACCCATTGTAAACTTACTCAAAAGCATGGATGGCTATCGCGAGCATGGCCACTAAAACCAATGTCTCTTCCCTCATTTTGGCGGGTTTGAGACTCCGACTAATGTGTAACCACAGGTTCATCAGTTTTATACACAGGGGTTCTTGTGGTGCTCGGGCTTGCAACCAATCTCAAAGTTTAGACACCCATCAAAACTGACCATTGACTCACTCTTTACTTACTTGAACAACATCCAATCAGCTGCATGCGTCGTTGCATCTATCTGATTGGATGAGTCTTTCTACTGTCGTTGTGGCTTAACCACATTTTATCTGACATTCTGCTAGCCCACGTAAGACTCCACCATGCAGTCGCAAACTTTTGGTCACTTTCTCAGGTAAATCAAACAAAATAAGCCAGTGACATTTGGGTCAGGAATGACTGCATTCTTCTGCGTCAGTTCATGGAAGCTAGGCTAATTTCATTCCACTTAGAAATTATGACAGCAGGGCCACAACTTCAAGACCCAGCAAGCGTGAGGGGAAATAGATATTGGAACAATTAATGTGCACATTGACAAGAACTGGTAGAATTGACCTGATGAACCTGATTTATCGACATTCAGCTTGGTTCACTTAGGCTTACTTCCAGTATTAACGAAAATGAGGGCGTTGCAACCAAGCTTTAGAAACTCCCGCGGGATACGAAAAATGAGTGGCGAACAGACGTCTCCACCAGACCGAGATGTATTTGTCGTGTACCACCATACGGTTTGGTTTCACCGACCTATATACCGCCACTGCCTTATAGAATAAACTAAGTAAAAACTGACAATAATAATTGGTGTTTTATGAATCTGTGATTGGAAAAAGCTTGTTATATTTTTCAACACCAATGGATGCTAAGTTCCTGTGTTCTTAAGAAAGACATTCAGAAGGGGAGACGATTGTGCCTCTTTTTCGAATGATACCATACGTTTTCTTTTGTCAAAATCGTTGCTTCAAAGGCCTCGAGGATCACTTTCTCATATTATGTGAGATCATAAAATAGGTGTGATTACCGTACACGCGTCCACAAAGACGATGATCTCCGTTGTATCCGTATGCCTTTATTACTGAGGTGACAAGCTGACAAATGGCCTGATATTACCTTGTTCCATGTTCCATAAATGGGAAAATATTTGACGGCATATTGCCCCACACTGTCGGATGTGCATCCCAAACGCTAACGGATATAAACTCGGTGTCCTGGTAGGAAAAAACGTTCTAAAAGCTAAGGGGTCGCATTTCAGCTTTTATTAGCAAACGGGAGCCAGTATTAGGCGGATATATACCACTGCTTTGACTCAGCCAACGATTCGACGCGGATACTTTGGTATGTAGCACAGAATTCGTAATGCGGTAGTTTCAAAACACGTGCGGCAATGAGTGTGATATATATCACCGTAATACGTGACAAAGTACATGTCTTTCCTCATAGCTGGCTTCAAACAAAACAAAAAGGATATCATCATCTTTGGATGTGAATAATCTGACAACCCGAGAAACCATTCCAAAATATGCCAAGGGATGATACAAGGCCCGGCAGATATGCGAGCTTCAGGCACGCTTAAGACCCAGCAAGCGTGAGGGGAAATAGATATTGGAACAATTAATGTGCACATTGACAAGAACTGGTAGAATTGACCTGATGAACCTGATTTATCGACATTCAGCTTGGTTCACTTAGGCTTACTTCCAGTATTAACGAAAATGAGGGCGTTGCAACCAAGCTTTAGAAACTCCCGCGGGATACGAAAAATGAGTGGCGAACAGACGTCTCCACCAGACCGAGATATATTTATAGGCCCAACATCTAACGTTCTTAGGCTATAAGAGATTGAATAAACGGTGCAAAGTACGTAAAGGGCCTGACATATTTCTGACAGGTTCGTAACACAAAATTCCAATCATACTCACATTGTCACAAGATATTTTTCTGGTCTACCAAGCCCATCTACCTCAGCGTGGAGAACAACTTATTGATCAGTCCGAAGCCATAGAAACGTTGAGGATTATATAACCGCTTCCTTATGAAATATCGACCTTCAGAAGTTAAGCCTTCTATGCATACTTGCTCGCATTCTGCTCAGGCATCAAACAGCAGTGTGACTTTTGATGTGAAAGAAGTACGGTAAAGCTATTTTATTTCAGGATAAATACAGTGAACGTGTGGATAATTTCTTGGATTACTCAGAATTTTGGCAGGTTGGTAACACCAATTTCCAAAGAATTCTCCGGCTCGCTCACCAGAAAGGCAGGATGGCCACGGTTTTGCCTACATCATTTTTTAGCCCCTCATTCCATTAGCCGCCTGCCTACGGATGTTTAGAGTTTGTTAAGATGTAATACCAAAAACAGTTATTGGTACGCACTATAAAACTCATCGTGATAACCTACAGTACTTAATCTATCTGGTCTGAGTGCTATGTACGTGTTGGAATGATTCATTTACTGCGCAATGAATGCAGAACCATTCTTTTGCTCCTTACCTTTATGCATCGGTCAAAATGCAAGCCTTGTATTCCACTATTCTACCAAATATATAATGTTGAAGAGTATTTGGTCCTTCTCACGCAGAACTCTCCAGTGTTTCGCAATCCGTTTACCAGAACTAATAAAGACATCCAATGAGTGGCACATAGGCTCGGGGCCGGGTTCAGAATTTGGGCGATGTAGTCTAATCAACATTTTGCCACTGGCCAGTTGTACGTGGCATCCATAAATAGTGACAAAGCGGAAGCTTGTATATCCGGTATCAAACTGACATACGCATCCGCTGACTTACAGTGGGTATGGAAAACAATCAGTTTGTCCAGATCTATTGAACAAATCACTACTAAACTTTTGAGTTACAGAACTAGCAAAAACATTCGCAGTCAACGCGACCGGAGTCCAGTTACAATGTAAGGGGGATGAGACCACTTGATAAAACTCAAGAAAAGCCACTCTAAAATTAAGCTGTCGAAGAGTTTTCAGCGACTTTATGAGCTCTTCATTCTGTCAAGACAGTAACTGGATCTTCGTCATTCCTAGTCCGTTATAGGACTAATACTTTTTCACCCGACATTAGTCAACCAAAGCGGGTTTATAGAAGCTCATACTACGTCATTTACTGCGCGTTATCCTGCTGGTGAATGTCTGTAACCGTACGTTTCAATAAACTAGTTTCACAAACGATGGCCCGAATATCTACAAATCAAGGTGACTGTAAGCCGAAGGTCCAAATGAAAAGATTGTATTCTCAGCGATCATACTAAATTGTGCGGGCAGTATTGAGCAACTGGCTTTGATGCTGAAGAATAACAAAAGAGTTGGCTGGGTAAACTGTAAGCAATCTTCCCAGGTTTGGTCCGCTGTAAGGTCAAATAAAATCTTTTGAGATTCTACCATGGCCCAAGGGTAGATTTGGTGATACATGGGAACATATGTAAATATACAAAATATAAGCAACCAGGCGTATATGTATGACTATGGTGTACAAAAAAATTTATCAAAGACAGCTTCTAGTAGACCGGATCAACGGATAGTTCAAAATGTGCGCTCCAGAAGTGGAATAAAGAAAAGAGTGAAGAGGCGAAAGCCTGAAGGTTTGCCAGTATGGAGTTGGTTTGAGGTGAGACAAATGAAGACGTCTTCAATTTTCGGAACGCAGAACATGAGATGAGACAAACGTTTGACCATATAGCACTGTGGTTTGGTATGGATTAAAATGCACCAGGTTGCGCACCACGCTTATGGCCACCGCAGCTATTTGATCTGTCATCCACAGAATTTGCGCAGATAAATAACCGTCATGAAAAGACTAAACCTCACCAGGGCGTGACTGGTTGTTCGCCCTCGTGACCAACTAAGCTATACCTGAGGCTTCCTAGCGACACCCGGAAAATCCCTCACACTGGGCTATACAATGTTTAGACTTCTTACCAACATAGTTTCCTGGTCCCGCAACGTAGAGTCAGGGCACGTTTTGGGAATTGTTCTATATAAATTGCAACGCTTTACTATTTTCCACTAGACAATGCTGTCATTCTGTCAGGCTCCTGAAGCAAAAGCTTGGTCTACGCCCTCAATCGTCCTCAAGTTAAGGTCTGGGTCTCCAAACAGTATCACAGCTTACGTAAACCTGTGATTTTCACTACCAAACATACGGTCATGTCGCATCGGCTACCATCTGATGTCATCTTCCGGCTCAACTTACTTGCGAGTCAGCGAGCTACTGCTGAGGCCTCCCATGTTCTTCTTTTGCGTACACGTGCTTCTATCCTCCTGCTCCTCACTCCCAATTAATTGTTCCCCCTCTCCTTCTAGGCTCGCCTGTCCCGATTTATTTAAACTGACTGGTTCCTTCGTTTCCAATCATGTAGCGCTGCATTTAAGAAGAATGGTTAAGTTTTAGCTTGTCTAAGACATTTTAAGGAAGTCTCAAACTTTCATGCGGACAGAAAAATGCACCGATGGAATATAGCCCATGGAAACCGAGAACACGCAAAAATCTGGTTTACAAAGCTTGTTCTGTCCTGCTAGATTTTTTGTCGCACCCTGTAAAACTACATACATGTGAGAAGAC